GAGGCCACGCCCACTCGCCACCGAGCCGCGCAGGGCGCGCGGTTGCCCTCTCCTCTCTCCTGCTGCACCCCCGACCTTCAGAGGCCCCAAAATAAAGGGTTTGTGCACTGGCCCTCCACAGACCAGGTAGGCACGTTAGAACACACAGGGAAGACATTTTTCTTGATGGCTAATGATACTAAACATTTAAAAATATATTCACTGACCATTTGTATTTCTTCTTCTGAGAAGGGTCTACTCACATCATTTGCCCATTTTAAATGAACGCGGATGTTTCTCCAGCATCCTTTTACGAGGACTTCTTCAGTATATGTTTTCAGCACCTTTGTGTAGAATCAGCTGGTGTAGATAATGAGTTTACTTCTGGGTTCTCTATTGTTTCATTGGTTGTCTGTTTTTATGCCAATAACTTGCTGTTTTGGTTACCACGGACTCAAATTTGTGGTCCTGCCACTCCTCTGCAGTAGCTGGATTACACAAGTGTGCCCCTACATTGTTTAGCTTTGAAAACCTGGCCATTCCCAGTCCTCTTATTTCCCTACGACCTTGTTAAGAAAGTCTGCAAGGAATCTGATTGGGGATTGGGACTGCTATATCTGTACGAGAACTCTTGTATTCCCATCCAGGAATGTATTTCTCAGTTCAATTTCTTATAGCACTCTTTTGTAGTTTTCAGGTACATATAATTTCTTATAGCACTGTTTTGTAGGGGTTTTTTTGTAGTTTTCATACACATTAAAATTTGGCTGAGAATGTATTTAATTTCTTATAGCACTCTTGTAGTTTTTTTGTAGTTTTCATATGCATTAAAATTTGGCTAAAATTAATCCTATTTTATTGCTTTTGGTGCTTTTTTTTTTTTTTTTTTTTTTTTTTTTTTAATTTGAGACAGGGCTTTCCTGTGTTCTTTAGCTGGCCTCAATCTCCAGGCTCAAGTGATCCCCCTGCTTCAGCCACTTGAGCTAAGGTTACATAACACTGCTGTCCCAAGCTATTTTAAACTTTTTCATTACTTGTTGCTATTATAGAGAAATTGATTTTTATACACTGACTTTATACACTGTGACCTTTGTAAATCTTAATTCTAGTTGCTAGCTTGGGCATTTTCTATGTAAGATTTTCTACGCAGATGACTGCTGTGAATAAAATGTTTACTTCACCTTTTCTATTTACATGTCTTACATTTCTTGTTTTCCCTACTGCACTAGTCAGGATCACCACACCACATGGAACAGAAGTGATTAACATCCTTGTTTTGTTCCCAACTTTAAGGAGAAAACATTGTCTTTCATCATTAAGTACGGATTTTATGTTTGTCACAGATGTCCTGCATCAAGCTTAGTTCCCTTTTATTCCTAGTTTGCCAAGCATCTGATTATGGTGTGTCCTGGTCTCATATCCTGCTTTTCATCAAAGCACAAGAACTGAATGGTAATGCAGGTGGACAGGTAAGAGGCGATTTGTGTGTTCAGCATCTAATTCTTTAGGGACATCCTCTTTTCCTGTTCCACAGGCTTTAAGTAATAAACCTGTACCACCCTATTCTAAGACTGAATCCACTGCATCAAAGAACTTTAGTTTTTTGTAAGTATGTTTGGGTTAGAAGTGTCAGGCAGCACTACCCAGTCTCACAGGGGTTAAGAAGCAAACTGCAAAGAAAGGTGAAATGTGAAAAGAAGTGAAGTAGACAAAAACCCTAAAGATACTGAAACTCTTGATTTAAACATGTGGACGAAGCTCTGTATTTGGCCTTTTTAGTTTTGAGGGCCAATACATTCTTCTTGTGCTAAAACCATTTTTTTTTAAGACAGGTTCTCCCTATATAGTTTAGACTGGTCTTGAATTCACTATGTAGCCCAGTCTGGCCTCAAACTTGTGGTAATCCTCCTGCCTCAGCCTCCCAAATGCTGAGGTTAGAAGTATGTACACCACTGTTTTCACCCGCAATGAAGTCCTTAATGCCACTCTCTGAACTTGTCATTGCTTGAGGAAAAAGGTAGGGGGATAATATATTTAGATTCAAATTTTAAAGATCATTCTGTCCTCAGTGTAAAAATAAAAAGAATGAAGGTCAAACTAGAGGCAGAATATCACTTAGGACAACTACTGGAGGCATCCATATAAAATAGGGTAACTAAAAACCTAGTCAGACAGTTGGACAGATACAGGGATAAGAAAGAGACTTGCTTAGAAATTAGTGACTAATAGGTTTAGAGGGACAGAGAAATGTAAATATGATATCCCTATTTCTGGTAAGCAAGAGTAGACAGAGCGCAGGAGAAAGGGAGGAGCTCAGACATGGCGATGCTTCGACAGACGTGTTTTGGGAGGGCATACAAGTGTGGGCTGTCCCTAAAGAACATGATGTGAGCTCCTGGGTCCCATGTGATAATTTAGTTTCAAGGAGTCCGCTTGCTGACAGAAGCTGCTAAAAGCGTAAAACACATGACATAATCTTAAAATAAATGTTTAATTTCAAACATGTTGTTATGCTGCAGAAATGTTCATTTCAATGAGAAACAGTAAAAAAGTATTATTTCCATCTAGTATTCGAAGCAGAACAATAAAACTGAGTAAAAAATAGCCTTAGTTCTTACAAAATCTAGGATTTGAGTCTTACCATGTAGCTTCTTCTCATTTATATATGAGAACAAAGTTTAGAAGACAAAGATTTACTACTCAAAAATATTCAGAAAAAAATAGTTTCAAGAGAATTTAAATGGAGATATTGATAAAGAATAAAAGGCAATTCTAAACTTTCAAAATCTTTGGATTTTGTTTTATTCATTTCCTTATGTAACTGTATTGTTATAATTTTTCCTCCCATGAATAGGAGGAAAAACATAAAGGCAGCAAAATACCTACGGAAGAGGATGAATAATCTGTGAGATTAAGTCAACTACAAAATATATAAAGTAGAGAAATTCCTGTGATTAGTAGTCAGATTTTCGATGAACTAAGAATTGTAACTAAAGCAATGTTAAACATATATCACATGCAAGTACAGTCAGTATCTCATACCTTGCACAGCTACTAAAATTCATTTTTGTTTCCTAACCATCCTGCTATACAACAATCATCTATTTAAAACACAACCACAGGGGAGAGGCGAGAGAGGTGTAAAGGAGGGTAATGAGGGTGGATATGATCAAATATGTTACACACATGTATAAGGAAGTCAATGAAACCCAGTATTGTATAAAATAGAGTACTAAAAAAATAGATATGTTAAAATACCAGATACCTTACAACCAAGATCTTCAGTGACTCCCCACTGCCCACAGTGAATACACTGTCTCATAAACTATGTTCTAGCAATGATTCCCTACTTAAATGTTTAAATGTCATGATAAGGAAATGTGCTGAGCAAACACCAACTACGAAGTATTTTTTTGTTTGTTTGTTTTTGTTTTTCTTCCGGTACTGGGAATTGAACTCATGACCTTGCACTTGCCAGGCAGGCGCTGTGCCGCTGAGCTAAATCCCCAGCCCCTAACAGTGTATTTAATGGTGGATGAAGGTGCTAGATCCATACAACTGCAAGTGTGACCACCAACTGCCAGGACAGGTATCCATGGCAGGTAGAACTCAAGAATCTAGTTTGCTGGCTGTCTAGGTAATTCTTCTGAAGGCTAAAATTTTAGAAACACTGTTTTAGAAAATTAAAAAAGAAGAGGTCCTGATTTGTTCTCTTGGGCTTACTTCCAGAAGGTACTGCGAATATCTGCTATGGGGATGGACTTCTTAAACCCTTTGAAATTGTGCTGTGTGAATAAATGGGATGTTCGAATTTCTTAGACACGGCAGCCTACAGCCCCTTTAAAAGATGTACCTTCAATATTATGAGTTTACTTAATATAACAAAACTGTAGCTACAGATATGTATTTCTAGCAGAAAAGGAGTCAAACATAAATTAAAGCATTTAGGCAAGGCCACCCATCATTTTAAGTACACATGAAAATATTTAAATTTACAAAACTGATAAATACATACTATACATTCATTCTGTATATTTAAAAAAGACTAAACTTAAGGAAATGAAAAGCTGAAAAATATGAGAGGTAGTAGCACTCAAGGAATGATTTTTTAACCTTCTATTTAATATTATACACTGGAAGACTGTAGGAGAAAGGGGAGTTAAATTTTCAAGAGAAAAAATGTGGCAGAGGCAGTTCTATGACCTTAGGAAAAGATAAAAGTGAAAATATATCCAAAATATATTTTAAAAATTGTTACACATGCATTAGTGACAATAAACAGAGGGTAATTAATTGCCTTTGGAGAATGGAAAGAAGTCCAGGGTTTTACAGTTTTCAGCTCCACTTGTTAGCACTCTTTTCAATTCCCTTGTTGCCATGATTCTGAAGTACTTGCTCAGTAATTCCAAGTGTGCGGAAGTCAAACTAAACACTACATCATTAGTAACTTTGCTTTATACGCTATGCGTATTGGGTAAAACTAGTGTATTAGGGGTACTGTAGAGAAGGAAGGTGGAGGAATAGCAGGGGAAAATCACTCATTCCATAAACAGTGGGAGCAGCAGTACCTGCTGATGGAGTTTTAAAACTTGATGTGCACCCAAACCCTCAGAGGGCTTGTTGAAACAGAGAGCTGGGCCTCACCTCCAAAATTTCCAACTTAGTAGGTCTGCAGTGGGACCAGAATCTGAGTTTCCAACAAATTCCCAAGGTGAGGGTGATGCTGGTCTGGCACACACACTTTTGAGAATC